CGCGTTCGATCGTTCCACGGAACTGCTTCGCCGATACGTTTATCGACCCTCAACGATTCAGCGTTTACCAAATACGATTGTCTTATGTGAAGAATACTTGTGTGTAAGGCAGAGAATACATGTAAAAGTTTCATTGTCTGTCATTTTTGTCGTACGTTCACGAAAATGGTACCGATGGTCTGTTGAGATCTTTCCGATTAAAACGAGTACAAACACGATATACATTAAATTAGTAGTACATAAGTTATGTATATACATCGAGTTACTGTGTGAAAATAGTACCAATGGATTGCTGAGATTTTTCCGATTAAAACGAGTACAAACACGACATACATCGGATTAATTATAGTAGTATGTACAAATTAACTTGATGTGTATACATAGGTTATGTACTACTATAATTAATCTGATGCATATCGTGTTTGTACTCGTTTTAATCGGAAAAATCTCAGCAATCCATTGATACTATTTTCGCACAGTAATTCGATGTATATGCATAACTTATGTATTACTAATTTAATGTATATCGTGTTTGTACTCGTTTTAATCGGAATAATCTCAGCAATCCATTGATACTACTTTTACGAACGTGTGACAAAAATGACGGAAAATGAAAGTTTCTTTACCACCTGATATTTTTTTTACTCGTGTCATCCCCACGTGAACTCGTAAAATTAAGGCAGACTTTTTTTACCGCGTTTGCCCCCCGTGACGGTTCTTCGAAAGTTTACCCTTGTCCTCAAACGCAAAACGCTTGGAAATAAAGGAAACCGCCGTACGAACCGTTATTTCGATAAATACACAGCCCCGTGAGCCGAACAGCGACATTATCGTAATTTCGCAGCGCGGGATAAACGCAGACGACTTGGAGCGCAATCCATGCGTGTCGCGATATCTCTATTACCGAGCGCGGGATCATTAAATTTCTAAAGTTCCCGCGAGCCTCGCGAACTGTCGCAAGATTTCACGTCGGCGGGCGACTAGGGGGCCCCGGGAGCGCAGGTAGTCCCTAAACAAGGACGACGTAGTGGGGGGGAAGGGGGGCCTCAGGGCCTCCCTGATACACGACAGCGTGGAATGCGAAAGCGTGGGTTCGGTTCGGACTGAAACGCGATCTCGATACACATCGAGAGGCGACCGGCCGGACGGCCGCCGGCTAAATACTCGCGCATGCGCGCAACGGTACTCCCAGCAAGCGATCGTTCGACCGATCGATTCTCGTAGTACGTTCTCGATTCTATTATACAGAGCGGATTCACGCAACTACAACGAGCCGTATCTCTGTTACGAGTCGAGTTAGAAAGAAACGTTATAGGGGGAAAACGAACGGTTTCGAAGGGGCCACAAGATAGTGTAAATAATTTTCCTACAGGTGGACGCGTAATGGGCACACTGTTTATTTGCTCGTCATTATCGAGAAACGAATAGCTCCTCAAAGCGTAATGGTCTTCTACAGAGAATTTCAGAAGTTCTAGTTTTATTTTGGCATACGAAGTCACGTCCCTCGCCGAGGAATTGACTCCCGCGTATCACAAAGGAGCGTTTTCGCTGTTCATCGACGGAGAGTATTACACGCACGTAGAACCCGAAGAACTGGAAAGTGAACCGTGAGTCCTCGTGCACGGCGTTCGTTATTGGCTACCACGGGAAGCGGACTACGCGAACGAAAGGAGGGAATATACTTTCTCCCGAACAGTCTCATCCGCGGGATCTTATCCTGAACGAACTCGTGTGCTCCGTATATTCGGTTGGTAGCAGTGCAAGCAGAAGGGGGTACACGCAAGGTGTCCTGGGGAACGTCCCAGGATGATTGTTAACGCATCGTTGATCGACGAGAAAAATTTTTTATTTTATTAAAGATATGAAATATCAAAGACAGGTAGATTGGAACGACCTGTTAATTTCATGGAAACACTGTCGTCCAAATATGGGTGATACGAGCGTGGGGGGATTAACGGAGGGTTAACGAGAATATCCGGAATCTAAACCAGTCGTTCCCCTAGGAAATGATGCAGTGAGGTTAGTTCTGGTCGCGATGATATTGTCAGGACCGCTTTGAATGGCACTTCGCAGAGGTAACTGAATGAGGTGGCCCGCGAGGCAGGTTGCTGGTCCCGAGAACGTATGATGACTGACTTAACTGGAGTGGATAGAGCGTCTGGGTCCACGGTATAAATAGATGCTACCACTTACCGTCAATTCAAAGAGAACACAAGACTGCGCTCCTAGTCGCGGGCGAGTACGTACGAAGCCTCGGGCTCGTCACGAAGCGGCACCGATACCGAGGTGCCACCCAGTGGCGTAACTATACTCCTCCAAGGTCGACGGAACCATAGAACCTACAGTTCCAACGCTCGCGCGGCCGATCTCACGTTTTCGTGATTTCGCGAATCGATCCCTCTCGAGTCGAAATTTTGCGTACGCGATCGTGCATATTTACTCAAATAAATTTCAATACTTTATCTCGCTTATCGCGATGACTAAACGTTTGTCGAAGCGAAGCACCTACCAACAAACGACCAAGAATGACTGATGAATTTTTAAGAATTCTATACTTGCTAGTTTCTCAAAAAAAAATTTTTCTAATTATTTTGCAAAGTGATTAACAGTGGGTTTTCACGCCTTGCTCTCCAAATAAAAATTACAGTTTGAATCGCAGAACGAAACAACCAAGGAAAGACTTACTTTCAGGACTGCCAACACGCCGCGTAAATGGAACGAAATCCCAACGTTGTACGCGATGTAAATTGAATCGAAGTCGAATCCGGCGATCTGGTTTGCACAATGCACGCACCACGGATTGAAATTCTACGCCCGTGTCCACCACATCGAGTACCATGACCCCCCCGATTACTAGGATCGGAGTTAATCATTCCTAATTTATGTCCAGTAACTGCGTCGCTAGTGCTCAAACCGGGGGGAATGGCCAGTGCCGCGCCGACTGGAAATGCCATTAGAGAACCGTTTCCGGATGACAATGTTCCGTTGACTGGAAACGCGTGTCCCGTGCAACGATCTAATTGTACAGAGTAACGTTTCCACGCGGTTAACTATGCTTTAATAGGCCAATAACGATTCGAAAACCTTATCGGATAATAATGCGATCGTCGTGAATTCTTAAGCTGGTTAAGCGTACGCGATTTCATCAATTTTTTAAAATTCGAAAATATAAAATTCGCTCGAACGAATAGATTTTAAAATGGTTTTAACACGTTCATTGTCCGTGACCCATATATGGGCCACAACGCCATGCTTTTGGATACGCCGCTATGAGACCGGACAGTGAACGCGTTAAGAAAAGAGAGAGAATTTGAACTTTGTATTTTTTTGCAAAAACGTAACGAGAAACCGACTTTTTCCCCAAAGGTTTACAATAGAATAAATAATACGGTATCTAACCGAAATTTTGAAATAGTTTCAACATGTTCACTGTCCATGACCCGTATATGGGTCACAGCGCCATGCTTTTGGATACGCCGCTAAGGGACCGGACAGTGAACGCGTTAAGAAAAAAAAAAAAAAGAATTTGAACGGTGTATTTTTTGCGAAAACGTAACGAGAAACCGATTTTTTGTTTTGTTCCAAAGGTTTACGGTAGAATAAATAATACGGTATCCCCCCTGGAGGAAGAGCAAGCACGGGGACGACCGAGTAAAATTGCATTGCTATGCCTCGGTCGTGAACGAATTATGCGACGAGACCGAAAGCGTTACAGGAGCGGAGAAACGCGGCGCCAGAAGCGTAAACGATTTTTCAGCGCAGTTTATCAAACCACGCATCGTTGAATCGTCGACGAAAACGATCGCCGTGGCCAGGTCGGTTGGTGCCCCCGAGCTGGACATGCTCGATTTGCCGGGAGCCCGATGGCGGAGCAAACCGGGTAGCCGGCCATGCACTGTTGGGCTTTATAAACCGAAGACGTCGTCTCGACGGCTCGTTAGCGGGTGGAGTTATTAAGTGGCTGCTCGTTAACACACAGAGCGCAGTCGTTAGCGTGGCAGAAGGGAACGTACCGGAACACTCTCGTCATTACTCCGATGTATCGATAAGTTGCCCGTGAATAAGCAGAAATATTAATTGATACGTCCGAAAGAGACCTACAGTCGTTCCGTCGGCCCGTAAAAATAAACACTGAATTGAGGGGGGAGGGGTCCCGACTTAGGAGGCAACATAGTTATTATTTACATATTTGGTAAAAAATAAAAAAAGTGTGTCTGTTAAAAAATTGATACGAGTGCTCCTCGGTGGTGAAATAGAGACACGATTAATAAATAGAACATTAATGGTCTCGGACGCGCGAACGCTGGAACGTTCGAGATATTGTTTGCATTTTAAGTGACGGGCAGTCATTGAACTTGACGACCTGAGCGCGTTTATCTAAATGGCAGTCGTTTCAACGTGCCATAAATTTCCATTTTCGACGATTAATATGGAACGACTGACGGTGTCAAAGGCGTCTTTAACCCTCTTAATACCTCGCAAGCGATGCCAGAAACAAAGTACTTCAACTCATATACACACGATAAAATTATAAATTTGAAAAAAAGACACTTGGAATAAATTATATCGGCCCACCGAAATGGTTCCTAAAAATGTTTGCTCAAAGTTATATAATTTGTAAAAAAAAAATTCTTAAATAGGAAGACTCCACAAGATACCGCTGCAAAAAGTGTGACGCGAGACCGTGCAAAGATGACTACGCGCGAAATCCGCCGCGGCGTGCATCCTTTCTAAGGCGAGCTAATTATAGGACACAGTTTTCGTTTCGCGACCTCTGTCGTCGAGGGGTTAAAAAAGAATCCTTGAACTCGTTTTACGGGCGTCGAGCGCGCCCGCTAGCAGCAAAAGTAATTGATCGGCACGAGAGTCTAACGCGCTCGGCATTACGTAAAACCCGTTTAGGCGGGCGTAAGTCCGCCTTATCCTCTCGGTCAATGCCATGACGGGCGTTAACGCGAATACAAAGATGGTATCTCGTCGGCCGTGCGACTTCGCCTTACCTTGACCGTTCGAGTGATTTTGCTGGGGCGACTGGGGCTGGCCCTGCGTCAATATAATCTGACTCTCGAGCTGCTGGAGCTCCGCATGAAGCTCGTTCAGCTTGCTGTTCGCCTTTTTCACGATCGTCGCCACGTCGGACAGCGCTTTACGATCGGTCGCGACCTCCCTCAGCTTCTCGGCGCCGGCCTTTATTTTCAACTCCTGCAACAAAGTGAACGTTCGTTCCCTCGTTTTACGGGCCAGAACCACCGTTTTTCGCCAACTCATCGCGAACCGAGCCCCCGCGCGTGTGTCCCCGCCCACGAGCAACACCGACGATCGCGTTTTCGAATTTTCTTAACCGTTCCGAGTGCCCGCGAGCGCCACCTGTCGCCGCTCGGCGAGACACCGAATCGAAAAACAAACATGGCGAACCTGTCGAATCCTTCGAAAAATCGCTTAACGAACATTCCCGTGACTCTCGTGACACACGCGTCTATGAACGTCTCCCCGCGAGACGGAGGGACAGAGGCGGAATTTCGCTTCGCGGAATTCAGACGCGGGCAATTATCGTTATCGATCTATCAATCGCTTAAGCGCGTCCGTCGCTCGAAACCGCTCCTCTCCCGCGGCAAATGAGACGTAAAATTATACTTGTGCCTCGTGCCCCCGGTGGTCTATCCTTTCATTCTATTACCGCCTATTATATTTGCTATATAACTTCTCTCGACGGGCGCGCACACCCGTTAGAGGCCTGCACCTTCTAATCACGCTGCTCGAGCCGTGAATAATATTTGCGAGCGATGTTTAATGAAACGATGACCCGTTTCGTAGATGAGATCGTTTCGAGAAATATTTCACTCCGTTCGTCGGGTACGATGATTTATAAGTTCACGATATCGTTCGAGATACCGGGTGATCGGAACGGACCGACGAATAAAAAAAATTTTTTTTTTTTGGGTCTGGTCGTCGATTTCTGAAAGAATTTATCAATCGTGAACGAAAGCCAATCATTTTTTCCAGTAATTGCACGCAACCGACTTCTCGTGCATCACCTCGCGTTAAGTACAGATAATACAATGCGGACCAGCGATAATAACGACGCCAAGGGTGTAATTACAGTTTTGCCTCGCCTGAGCTCGATTCGACGAGATTGTGCGAATACAGGTCACGATGCAATAACGAAACGGAAAAAGAGCCGAGCGAGTGGAAGAGAAAAGGGAACGTTGGCTTCGTACATAAAACTTGTTTCCACGCAACTCGTGGAAGTATTTCAGACCACCCTCGAGTTCCTTTCTGTATCGGCTCGACTCTCGGTACACCGGCTCGAACAATATCCTCCTTTCGTCGATGATTAATTACCGAACGCAACGTGTCACACGGCGACGAAAATTCCGATTCGAGCTTGGACCAATTTATTACAAAATAATCGATGCATTGCAATTTTAATGCTAATAAAAAAAAATTTCGAAAATCAAAATATTCGACAATTATTTCGACGGGTGTTTTAGTTTATGTTACAGCAATGCTTGGGACAGTTAAAAGAAACGCGAAAAGGGAATGAAATCTCCGGCTTTGTATCTCGCCGAACGTAGAAAAGGACAGCGAATAAAAATAATAGTTTGCTATGTTTGCGTCGTCTCGTCGATATTCGAGCCCGGATCAGGTTGCACTGCGCGCTCCGCTCAACGCCGAGCTTCCTGACGTGTCCGGGGGAGTCCCCTCTTAGTCATTCGAGAATTGTTGTACCACGGTTACTTCCAAGATCAAATATAACAGTTCTACGCACCTGGGACAAAACTGTCTCTAAAACGGTTAAGAGAGTCGGAAACTTTTGGGAGAAATATAAAATCGACCAACCGAAGAAGACGAACGGGCGTTATGGCGCGTCGCGTCCCCGTAACTCGTTATCTTATTGGCGGTTTCGTCGTACGGCGGGGGGGTTCGTTTTTCCCTCCGAAATGACCATAAATTCTGCCCCGGATCCATTAGTCACGTGGACCGTGCCGGTTTTCAACGGGCGTGCCTCGGGATCGACGGTGGTCTGACACATATCGGATATATACTTCTTTCTCTCTCGGTCCCTCGCCGCGTAGTGGCGAAAAAGGAGAAACACGGAGGAGAGCAAGGAGATACGAAAGAAGGGAAGGATATACACTCCCCGTTCCCCCCTCCCCACCCCCTGACGCTTCCCCTCTACGTTACCACCTCTCCTCGTCAAACGCGCGGATGGATCTCTCGTGCTCGTGCGAGTTACTGCTACCGTGTATGCGGTGCGCGAAGAAAAAAAGAGAGCTTCGGAGAAGAGGTGTAGCTAAGAAGGATAAGCGAAACTCGACATACCTTGCGTATTTCTCGGCGTATGTGCTCCCGGAGCTCGTCGAGACGAACCGGCAAGGGCACCTGGTCACTGCCAGCCACTCCATACTTGCTCGACAGTTCGTAAAGAACCGGGTGCCTGATGTAATCGCCCTGAAACAGATCCCCGAATTCGATTATTACGCCACGTTCTCCGCGAATAATGGACTTTCAAGAAAAGCTATAAATCACGAAGTTCGAACGCCACCGATCGGCCAGCGACGCGACGACGTGCGCGAGCCGGTCCTAACCTCACTTTTTCTACGAAACGAAACATCGCGACTCTTTCGTTCTCGCTGTTAAATTTCATAGAATCTGTTATCTTTCGATGACGCTGTTGTTTTGTTATAGAATTCATTAATCTTGTACGTCTGTCCGCGGAGATTGATTTCACGCTTCGTGTACGAACTTGTGCAATTCTGTATTTTTCGGTTTTGGTTGCTGCCGCGTACTTTTCCACGTCGATCCACATCTCGATGGGGTTGAGGTCGCGAGATTGTGCCGGCCATTTTGATACATCGATATTTCTTTCAGATAAAAATGTTTTACTTGCTTTGTAATATGTTTTGGGTCGTTATCGTCGTTTGCGTACGCGTATGTAATATGTTCCTCGCGATGTCTCGATAAACGTACGTGTTCGAAATCCCTTCGAGCGCTGTTTATCGATATTGCGTACCAAATGATCGATCGATCCGTTAAATCGGGATCGCAATTTTATTTCCGCGCGGTTCGAAATTGGGTTTGACGTTTGAATTTTTCCGAGAACCGCGGTAACGATTGGTTGTAATTTGAGAGGAAAACAGCCAAGTATACACACCTCCGGACACCGCCGGAAATTGTCTGGCGCGCACTGCGGATGTACACACGGCTGTCGACTCATTCAACCGTAGTTATAAAACTGTACGAGAAAATATTGATCTTAACGTTCCCAGTAACAGTATCCGATATTTTCTATCGAGCTATTAAATACGGGCTAATCGATCGACGTTTGAATCGTTTGGTCCCTAGTTGACCTTGATCAAAATACACGATCAATTAACTTAATCGCGCCATCGTGCTGCTTGTACATCGGAGTGGATCGAATGCTCGAATTTCGAATCGATACAAGAAACATTATCGAACAAAATTCGAATCAATCGATAAAATACACATCTGCATAATAATTTTCAAAAACAAATTAGAATAAAATTAAAAATTTTAATTATAGAATGAATATAATATATTATAATATATCGATCGAAACTAAAGTTCGTTGCGCTGATAATCGAATTAAAAAAATGGTCTAGAATTGATCATACAAATCAAAACGATGATTCATTCTATGAGTAATCTTCTCCGACAATAAATAATTTTTCGTAACAACGATCGTTAACAAATACGTCCAAGATTGAGTCATTCACCTCGTACATTACATTTATCAAATTATAATATTTAAATTGATCTTTCTATATCGTTAAACGATTCATTGATATATTCTGACGAATGTAAAAAATCAAGAAATGATTGCATCCGCTCGAGTGCTAAATATTTATTTGCATTAGATCGTATATTGACTCACAACGATTAGCAATCGAGTCTAATCTATATCTCGTTCCATTTATCGATTAAATCTAAAACCTGACATTTTGAACTTTGTACTCTGATTCTTTGTATTTTTCGTAGCGCGGTAATTTTTGATAATTGAATATAAAAATTAAGCAGCAACCGAGGCTGAGTATTATTATAAAATAAAATTAATATCGACAACGTACCGTACACGGTGCCACGCAATTCCAAAGATATTTCGATTTGCACAAATTCGGCATAGACAAGTGTCGACGCAAAATCGACTTCTTTCCCTTCTTCTGTACAGGAATAAACGACATTGTTCAACTTCGCTATGGCGACGTTATAAATAACGCGTTCGAGATTCCTCGTTATTTTTCACCGATCACCAAACACCAAATTTCACAATTTCAACCAGAACAATAAACAACTTTACCAACCAATAACCATGCCGATAAAGAGTGAGCATAATTAAGGTTCAATTAACGATCGAAATAACTCGAAATAATCCAATATTTCACGGGGCACACGATTGTTTATTGCAATCGTTTAATTCAAACGAACAAGCTAAGAACTTCGCTCGTACCTCGCAGCCACCTGTTGCGATAAAAGTGTTACTTCGCGAACAATATTGTATTCCTGTACGGGACGCTACGAACCACCATTTTGTCGCCACTTATACAATTTTCATACAACAATGATATTTCGACGCGGTTGTGTCATTCGAAATTGAACGCTCGTGCAAGACTGAAGAGACTTCGCCGATGCTTTATCTCTTATCACCGCGATAACGCCGATTCCCGAGAGCAGAAAGTGTTACAACTTCCTTAAGGTGAGAAACGTTCACATTCACCGTCGTTTACGAAATATACATATCGATCCTCGAGCCGGAAATTAAAAAAATGTTAAGATCAGTCAACCCTGGGAAAAATTTTAATGGGGCATTCTAGAGGCCAAAAGAAGACCAAAATCAAGAATACCAATTTGTTGATGGAGGCTTTGTTAAAAAGTTATTAACATTTAAAGTTCCGCCAATACTGAATTTTTTTCTCGAAAATGCGCAGGATTTCGGGGGTATGTCTATTCACCAAAAGTGATTGTAATTGACCCCCGCAACCGAAAATAATTTTTCCAGAACGATTTGAAATATTTTTTTTGTGTCGAAAAATTTCACATCTTCTCAAATTTTTTTCTCGAAAATGCGCAAGATTTCGGGGGTGTGTCTATTCACCAAAAATTATTGTAATTGACCCCCACAACCGAAAATAATTTTTTTAGAACGATTTGACAAAATTTTTTTTCGCCGAAAAATTGCACACCTTCTCGATTTTTTTTCTCGAAAGTGGATAGGATTTCGAAGGTATGTCTATCCACCAAAAGTGATTGTAATTGACCCCCGCAACCGAAAATAATTTTTCCAGAACGATTTGAAATTTTCGAATTTAATTGTTAATAACTTTCTAACGAAGCCTCCATCAACAAATTGCTATTCTTGATTTTCGTCTTATTTTGGTCTCTAGAATCTCCCATTAAAATTTTTCCCATGGTTAGCTGAACACCCTGTATAGGAAATTTTTTTTTTTTTTAACAATTTTCATCCCTTAAACGATCAGATTTAAACAGTGATTTTTAAGGGGTTAAATATTGTTTGAAAACTTTTTTTCCCCACCTTGTACAATTCGCGAATTATAAAGATAAAATAAAAACGACGAACACGTTTCAATAACCAAATGTCAATATTCTATAATTTATGGAACGATGGTTAAAAATAGAATTTAGTGTTTTGATTGAAATCTAGGTCGTTGCTATACAAATTTACCAGATGACACATTCCCACCATTGGGTGGACGTTATCAGATGGGCATGAAGATTAGGCTTAAAGCGAAAATCGTCGAACTACCTTACCAGAAACATTAAACATTATCTCGTGGGAATAGAGAAATTTTTGAATTGATAAAAACAGGCACATTGAACTCGTTCTAGCATCGCAGCATAACCAGTTATGTTTTATTTATGTATGCCTCGAACAGCTTCGTTGTTTTTCAATCGAGTTTAAAGTCACAAAGCAAAGCAGAGCGAATTTTCACTTTCCTATACACCGCGTTCAACGCGTTCCATATCCCATACAAGACATTAGTTTTAATAACGAACGTTACCTTGCACCTGAACAAATTAAAAAAAGCGTCGATTCGCGACACTCGGTAATTTATAACAGCGAAGAAAATTTTTATCGTCGACTTATAAGGATGGAAAGTAAAAATAACAATATGATTAAGTTCCCAGGTATTTCGTTTCTGGGAAACGTGCAATTTTCGGAACGCGTCGGTTGGCGTGCCGTTCTTGTTAGCCGATATAAAATCCAATTGATCGCCACGTTCGAACCGCGTGCAATATTTACAACTTACGTCAAACAGTCTGCCGGACATTTAACGCTATTCTAAATATGCCTGGGAAATTCCTGCCCGCTCCGTGCAATTAGCGTTATTTTACTTGGCAAACCGACTGGATGGAAGAAGTTTCGATGAATTCACCGACCCCCGATCGTGTCCCGACACAGTTCCCAGGGGTTTTGCGTTCGCGGCGCAAGAACTTCGCCGCTGGCTCCGAAAGATTCGCGGCGGCCTGTAGTTTTCGTAACAGCCCGTGAAACGTTCCCGAGCGATTTAAAGAAGCAACGAACCCCGAGCGAATATATGCACGCCCCGCTGTGTGCGTTTGACACACTGACGCATGAGCTATTTTCATGCATTCCGTAATATGTGTGCCATGCATAATAATCCCGAGGGGTCAACACTCGTCGCGAACATTACTGTAACAAAGGCATGAAAATCTCCGTGACCGGAAGCGTGTACACGCACCTATCGACGATATCGAGTTCCAACGATCGTTCGAAACGTTCACACTTGAAAAAAAAAAACGACGAAGAACTCGTCACGCTTTATTCTCTTTTACGAAGATTACACCGAAGACGGTGCTGTATAAATTCAACAAGATCGTAACGTTTATCGTCGAAACGCGCGTGTCAATAGAGAGGGTTTCGAGGTTAGTCCGCGCGACTTTGCGCGCGAACGATATATCGTTAATGGAAAATTTACGGCCCCTCAAAAATTCTAATCATAGCCACCTATGCTGTTATGATTAATCGCAGCAGGAAAATAGAACTCGGGGGATTAGCGAGCAGGACGCGCGGGGGCCTAACCTACGTGTACCATTTTATTTTTGGGTTACGCACAGCGCGAAGCATCTGTTGGCGAATCGCGACGGTGGCGTATATCTGTGCAGAGTTGGACAATCGGACGCGTACGGTGGACGATCATGGCTGCATTAACGCGATCCGAAATGGATCACGCGTATTCGCGTGTCGCGGGACGAGAAACGTGGAGAAACCCGGTGTGATCGTCGGGCGCAGAGATTCGATCGCGGCGTTCAGCGCTGTCCGTGCTACAATCACGCTCCTGTCAGAATGATCCTTCGACCGTTGCCCGACCACGCTTTGACAAACGCGGCGGCTGTTCCCGCAATGTCACGAAATACCACTTGTCGACAGAAACAGGTGCTACCAGGGGCTGTTTGGAAAGTTCTCGGTTGTACGTTAAACGAATCGAACAGATATCAGGTGCGCGGTGCCCGTCACGCCTCGTTAAACGTAGACCGGGTTCGGGCATTTGATAGCCGCGATCTACGAAAGGGATCGGTGATCGTCGTCGCCTTCGGGGAACACTTCCTCGAGTGTCGACGGAAGACAAGCGCGAGCCGCGTTGCAGGGAAATGAGAGGAACAGGTAGCGACCGAATCACGGCCAGAGCGATCTTTTATTATGGCGGCTGGAATGATCCGGTCGGGCGGCGACTAACACGCACAACTACGTAAAGAGAGCGTGGATGGACCTGCGACTCACCTGATAATAGCTTGATTCCGCCATCTTGGACACTATACTCCACTCACTCACTTCACTGCTTTCTATCCGTCCTTTGTGCATGGGACGACGATGTCCATTGTGTTTACACGCGTAATGCGCGATCCGCCGACGTGATGGCTACGAGCGACCGCATTTCGTGTATCGCCGCGCACGTCCAGTGCCGTCCGCGATACGTTTCCAAGTAAAACCGCGGACGGGAAGCGACACGAACTTACTACCACAGAGGGATGTATGAATGAAAGACGCGCGGCTGGCGAACGAAACGCATACACAAGCGCATTCCACCGCGCCAGACTGAAGACTGACCGGACTGACGGCGAGTACCGGGCCAATCGCGGCCGAAAGGCGCGCGCACTGTACCTTTAACGCTACCGCTGAAGGTGCGTTCACGACGTCGCGTACGCGACGCTTCGACGGAACGGCCACTGTCCATTGGTCGATTCCGATGGAACTCGAAAAATGAACAAACGTTCGTGGTACACTGCATCTTGTAAAAATAGGACAGAGGACACATTTACTGCCACCGAACCAGTTGCTGTCACTTCAAATTGTTTTACCTAAAACACCGAATAAACCTTGTAATGTTGTATATAAAGAAATCTACATACAATGATAAGTGTAATTAAAACGATAAAAAGATGGTACTTAATCTCTTTTTATCGTTAATTTGTTATAAGATCGTGACGAATTTTTACGCGATTGGAAGCGTGTAAACGATTACTTAGTGTTTCATAAAATATCAGTAGTTTTGAAAACTATATTTAATTGAACCACCGAAATCAGTGAAGTTGAAAAATAATAGGATGCACAAGATTGTGTTACTGACTGCAATATTGTCATTTCTAATAAAGAACGTTTACAACCCGAGTAGTACTAACATTGTATTCCCTAGCACATACTTTTATATCGTAAAACACGTATTTAATAAAGCATAATCTGTTTATTTATTGCACTGGTAACTTCTGGTAACCTAGCATAAAGTTTATGTAACACTTTAACTGCATGATAACTAGATAGAGGAGTACTGATTGGCTAAAAAATGTAAGATTTGGTGACTTTTTCTAGTATCATTGTGCCTACACAAATCCAGTACACGATCGACAATAACAATTAATTGGTTACAACAATTTCTCGTACAACGAAACTTAGAATACGATAGATACCATATTTGTAATAATCACGATACGCAATATGTAAATAAATATGTGTAATCACAACTGACTCCAGTAGTAACCATACCAAACGAAAAACAGTAAAATAGCGAGTCTGATTTTCCACTCGATAGAAAAAATTAACAACATTCGTGCATCTCTGTCTATCCAGTGTAAAATTCGACCCTCGCAGCCACGGCTCTGATGTAATAAAATAAAATAAATATTTTTTTCAACAGTTGGTAGATTTTTCCCGCCTCGATCGTAACGCGTGCATGACGCGGTTTCGTCGTATCAATGATCTGAATGAGTTTCGTGTTTGGCCGTTATTTGTTGAAACCGTCAATAAAACTTTATAGCATCGATTGGCCAAGATCGTAAACGACGAAACGATATTAAGAAAAGGGTTCGCTTTTACGAAGCTCGATTAAATATAAGCAGAACGAACTATGACTTCGTTTAATTTAAGCTTGCTGGAAGATCAGTTGAAAGAAATTGCGCAGAGTTCGACTGGTACCGGTGTTTCGTTTGCGAAAAAATCGCTGAAGCTCGATTCCGAAGAGGACGGTGAGTTGTTTGAAGAAAAATTAATTTTTTTTTTAACGTACGTTATTCGACATTGTGCTTCGGAGTAAACGTAAATGACCGTGCAATATGATCGCGAAAAATATGAAGGTTATTTAAAAGTAAGATTAAATCCTTTATTATTTTAACAGTATTGGAAGTGGTGAAAGCGATCAAAGAATGCCCCGATTTGGAATACTTGGATTTGGAAGGAAACACTTTAGGGCCAGAGGCTGCCAAGGCCATAGGCAAAGCATTGGAAGAGAAAGGTGCTGATTTGAAACGTGCCCTTTGGAAGGATATGTTCACCGGTCGTTTAAAATCGGAAATACCAAATGCGATTAAATATCTTGGCAGTGCTCTGACCACTGCCGGTACCCGTCTCCTTGAACTCGACTTCAGCGACAATGCTTTGGGTCCGATCGGTATCGAAGCATTGGCTAACTTTTTAACCTCCAGTTCTTGTTACACTCTTCACGAATTGAGATTGAATAACAACGGACTTGGAATATCGGGTGGCAAAATGTTAGCAAATGCATTGTTAGATTGCTATAATAATAGTTTAAAAGCGGGTAAGATTTTGTTGATTTATTTCAAGCGATTTCAATGGCTTTGTTCGTCATTTACAAGTTATTTGTTTCCAGGCACACCCTTAGCATTGAAAGTGTTTGTCGCGGGAAGAAACAGACTGGAAAACGAGGGCGCGAAGGCGTTGGCGTCGGTTTTCCAGAAACTGAACAGTTTAGAGGAAGTCGTTATGCCTCAGAATGGTATATATTATCAAGGCATAACAGCGATCGCTAACGGCTTATCTACCAACCCTGGATTACGAATTTTAAATCTGAACGATAATATAGTAGGACCTAAAGGGGCTCAAGCTCTCGCCAAAGCACTGCCAAATTTCCAAAATTTAGAAGAATTTAATCTCGGAGATTGTCTTCTCAAAACAGAGGGCAGTATAACTTTGGCGGAGGCGTTAGGTATCGAAGGTAATCATCCGTCGCTCACGGAAGTAAATTTGAGTTACAACGAGATCCACGTAAGCGGCGCCAAACCCATAGCGCTCGCGATGGCCGACAAAAAACACCTAACGAAACTGAAATTAGACGGGAATGTTTTCGGGAGCGAGGGTCGCACTATTTTGTGCGACCTGCTCACAGCCTCTGAAAAAATTGAATCGTTGAGCATATTAAGCGACGACGATAGCGACGACGAAAGCGAAGGAGGTCATGGCTCGGAGGACGAGGAGAAAGACAAGGTGGAGGACAGCGAAAGCGAAAGCGAGAGTAAAGAAAACGAAGAAAACAACGAAGATACGACTGAGCACAATGGCGATAAAATTCCGGACAGCACTTCGACACTGAAAGTGTCTGTTTCGCAGTTTCTGTCGTCACCGGCGGACGAGAAATTATTATTATTACAAGGCGAGATCGTTCAAGATTTCGTAGATCATGCTAGAGTAAGTAAATGTAATTAAATATCGCAATAGCATTTTGTGATATTTAAATACTCTTTTGTGCCGTAGGATTTATCGAAAAATGCTGACGCGTCGTCGGAGCTAATATTCGTCGAAGAATTTACAAAGATGGTTATGAAAGTGTCCGCAAAATGTGCGAGTAGTGATATTAATGTAAGAATGAAAGCTCAAACCCTTACGGACGCGTTGTATTCGAAGCTATGTTCCTTTGCAGTGGAGAATGATGAGATTTCGATTTGGAACAATGCCCTGCTAGTCAACTTAGGTTTAATAAAAGTAAATATCTTGGAGCGATTAGTCTATACGTATCTATGGCAAATACTAATGCACGATTGTATTTCAGAGTGAAGATAAACGTACTGGAAAGATCGTTTGGAATTTAGACGGTTGTTTTAAAGCATTAGAACAAGTTATCCAACAAGATTACTTTTTAGCGGAAACACGAGATACGTTGAAAATCTTTTTAGAAAAACCAGTGAAAAGTAGAAAGGTTGTAGATTCGTGTCAGGATTCGAAAGATTCTCTTAGAGCTATTTTAAATCGTATGCAAAGTACATAATAAATATCAAGATATATATTGTGTATAATTGATTTACTGATGATCAATATAAGATATACATCTATTTATTTTTAAATATCTCGCATGTAATTGTATGTATTTTATACAACCTTACAAAGAATAAGAAAGATTATGTAGCATGCAGTGTATACAGATTATCAATTGTTAAGAGTTTAGTGCGAATTTTGTACTTTACAACAATTTCTAAAAAAAATTTTCTTAAATTAATAGATTTTAATTAATTATAAACATTTGAAAAATAAAAATGTTTTATTTATATACTGTCGAAATGCCACGTTTATTGCATTACATTTTAAAAAGAGTTTCGGATCATAAACGTATGATCGTGTTGCAACGCGTATACTGTACTTTTCTTTGTTACTGAGGATACAATTGGTTTCCAAACCGCATGTGCCACGATTGCACTGGACTAGAGCGCGAATATAAAAATCGTATTTAAATTTTGTATTTTTATGGATTTCGAACGCGAAAAACAGACTGAAATTTGTATAAAATAAATAACGCTTATTCGTAGAACCTAACATCAAATGCATTTAAAATTATTATGACTATTGGAAAATTTGTCCTACCGTAAAAATAAGAATTGAACGAAGCTCCTAGTAATTGGTCAATTACGATATCATGGAATTTCTCTTTCATTGTTTTATGTGCAACGCAGATGCCGAGTCCCAACCTGGATTAAACAAATCTACCGCCAATGGCGCACAGTGCGTTGACGGTTGATCTTTCATGTACATTGTCGCCTAAAATGACAAAACTATATATAAAAATATTCGTTAAAAATTAAAATTTCACTTGGTAGATCTATGTACGTACAAGGAATAGAACAAGCTGTTGTTTGGTTTTAGAATCACTGTCTCGTCCGAGAGTCGAGGGATAAGTTACGGTACCATTATTTTTTTCTATATCATTCGCAATTAATTCTAAGCAGTGCCGTTCGTCGACCTGTACCGCTTCCATTATCGATTCTGAACAAATTTCGAACATATTATTGTACTGAAATATTGGGAAAATCAACTCTCGAATTGTACATTTGTTAATGTTCTCTTACTCCTGGAAGAAGGCTGAACGGACAGAAATCTTGTTAAAAGTACGCCGCATTCTGATGTTTCCGAGAAAAGGTACGGATAACGTCTTATCAAGACTTTGTGCAGCAACACATTACCGCGATTCCCTGTCAATGTGTTGCTAGGGATACACACTACTTCGTCCTCTGTTCTACGTATAAGTAATATAGGACCATTGTACCTGGGCAAAAAGATAGAGAGAAAATTTATTTTCATGTACAAGGTCTGAACAGAACATTGCTCTGTACCTGTTCAACTGCTCTGCGATGTTCAAATTGAAATAATCTTTGATAATGTTTCGAACTAAGCCTTCTAACCACGAGGACATTGTCGTAATAGCTAATGGAAGTACATCATCGAACGTGGCGTCTAATACCTACAAAATGCGTGGCTATAATTTTAAACACTTTTCGACTTGTAAAATATTTTGGGGGTCCTCTGTGGATCAGATGGAAAAGAAAGGGGTATAGGGAGAGGGACATTCGCGGGAACTTTGGACATGCGCGCTAGAATTTTCCCTCGTGGGATTCCTTTCTGCGCATGCGTTAGCCATCTGCCATAGATGCATTTTTGGCGCAAAAAGAGATGCATGTTAATGCTCGCCAATCACACAAAAATTAACTTATCGAAGGGATCCTTTACGTATTTTTTCTCTAGCTATACTCATATGTAGATTAAGAAGAAATTTTTTGTTTTTGTCTCTATCCCTGTAAACTTCCTTAAATTTTGTTCCTTATACTGAGATCCAATGGGTACCCTAAATTTTAGTTAAGTGTATAAAGGTCAGTGAGTGATCATACGCTCCAAGTGTTTATGATCAAAATTCCCACGAATGACCATCACTGGCCGGGATATTGGAAATCGGTCGAGGATCGTATATATGTAGACGAAAGGACGATCGAGTGCTTGCGAGAGGAACTGTCCCTCTGGCGGCGAGTACGGGAAGCGATGGACCCCACAATATATATAACATTTATGAATAAATGAAGGAAAACCTTACTAGACTTTGAATCGAAGGATAGTTCATAGCAGCCCAGGTAGCAGTATATCCGCCAATGCTCCAACCATAAAGTATTATTTGTTCCTCAGAAAACATTAACTGATCGATCGCAAAACGCATTACACAATCGATAGCATTCTCTTCTTGGAGAGGATACGGGGCACCCTTTGTAGTCATTTTCATGTCTTACTGTTATCATTTTATAATCATAGCTTGACCGAAGAAAAAGTCTTGCCATTACTCCAATTATATTTAACATAGATATACGACTGTTATTAACTGCAACATTGTCAAAATTTCATCTTTGCGATACTGAATTTAGAAGAGTAACAGCAATTCTTCTCATCGGAACGTTACCATAAATGTACTAAAAATAGTTTATATGCGGAAACGATACTTACAGTACTGCCACCAAAACCTGGATGATTCCAACCCAGTACAGAATATCCTTTATACAACGGAGTCGATATAATACCGGTTTCGTAATAGCCGCAGTTTCCTTCGCATGTAATGACCAATATATTTCCTTCCGTTGTTCTATGGAAACAAAAGGAAAATTACATAAGAATAATCTGGTTTTAAATCAGTGCAGCGGAAAAATGTTATTAACGTTTACATTACTTGTTACGTCGGTCAACGAATATAGTGTCGATTTGATTATTATCCACGGTCAACAGTTTGTATCTTTCTCCTCCTTGTTTTATTAGATCTGTCCTTCCTTTCAAAAGCATAGAGCCTACAATAATAACGTATTACATTATAAAGTGATAATATAATGTAAATTATGACGAATCATGTAACTTACGAAATGTCCAGTTGATAATTGATACACCTCCAGGATATATCATGTTAATAGCGAACGTGTGAGCTACGATGCATGATAATAATTTACAAGGCAACGTGAATATAAATTCCTTACTAGTTTGCCTTTTTACACGACCACTGGACGCTGCAATTTTTTCTAACGTTAGCTTCTCCCTAGGCTTGTCTCTGCAAATACAAAATAAGCGTAACTTAAGCGGGCGCTACTGTAAATCTTGCAATAACAGCGACATACCCATCTACGTCGGTAATCTTAAAATCTATCGGCCATGCCCAGAACTCAAACTCGTATTTATGAAGTTCCTGTTTCGTTTCTGAATTATAGTGCATGGTCGCATCGTTCAATGTCTTCAAAAATTTCAAATACGTAGGATTGCTTGCTCTCGAGCAACTGCGTACAGCCAAAGATGCCAGCAAAATTACACTGGCACCGGCTGCCACTTTGGTCAAAAAGTATACATTGTCTACCAAGCAACTGCCGCGTTGATAGAAGACAGGAGCAACAAGTGGTGTTGTGTATAAACTAATAGTCCAGATCGCTGCAAACTTAGAATAAATAAATTTGTTAATATAAACATTTATAATTATTATTTCTAATTCATTGGAACATTTCACTTTACAAATGACTCTCATTGCTACTGAATACAAATTGAAGGCAAATTAAATTCGTAATATACAATCGAAATCGAAAGTTTCAAATGACACAATGTTGATACTTTTAAGAATTGTTTGTCGTGGTTTTACGATAACTTTTGTAAACACTCACGCAAATTACGATTTGATCGCCCCATCGTTCCAAGCTTTTCGGCTCGTACGATTTCTGAAATATACACATCAAAACAGATATAACCTAAAACGCACTACTTTCGTTAAATTGCTAAGCTGTTCGAACTTACGTCTATCAAATGACCGATTCGCGTTATCTCGTAAATCTTAAAAAGCCGAGGACTGAATGCACATTTCCAAAGTGTACTAATTAACGACATTTCGGACTTGTTTCGTATACTCCGATCGAATCCACGATCCAAATTACCAATGCAAAATACTACACAAGAGCGGCTTGGCAGAATAGCAGATCATGCAGATGACACGAAAAAATAAGTTACTACGATAGACGATGCATTCGATAAGAACTTATGCATGATTATAGATCGCAAAGAAAAGAAGGTTCACTGCGTTTTTATTATAGTTGAAAATAAAATAAACGCAGCGTACATTTAACAGAATTATCAATTGACTTTTTACTCGAAGTCGTCACATTTATGAAATTCATGACGAGTACTTTCGCGACAAGAAATATTCGCTATTCGTTCGATCGATTGTTAGAAATTGTTATTTTTAATGTAATTTCAAATATATTTATACAGGTTCGAAAGTCCCGGTCGTTCAATTTAAATTCACACGCTTGGTAAATATAGAAACTTTATCGATACCCATATAATATGCCATTTTGCAGGCAAAAGGAGAAAAACAAAAACGAAACGTAAAGCACGATGGAAAATTGATATGTAACGAGATCAAAGAAAATTAGAGTTCGAGGGAAGAAAATTTGATAGTAATATTCGACGAGACATGTTTGGGGAGTTCGCGTAGAATTGGACAATTTCGACGTTAGTTGATTCTAAGACCGTGCACTAGATCGTGCTTTTTGGAACGTAAAAAGAACTTGCTGGAAGATTGGCGGATGTGTATGTACAATAACGCACAGTAGTCGCATACAGTTACATGTTACGTGCGCATCGATAGCACGATAGCCAAATTCTGTCGATATATTAGATTTTTTCAGAATGTCAGACTGGGATACCGCTCCTATTACTCTGCGGAAACGTCCCCCGAAGGCTTCCGTACTTAAATCGGAACAGGTAATTTCACTCGGCAGATATTTCGATGCATTTTATCTGAAGTGATCGCTACATGCATGGTTGTGTAATTGTGTTTATTTACAGGCGGTGAATGCAGCACGTCGTCAAGGTTTTGTAATTGAAACACAAGCAAAATGTGAGTAGACTTTTGCCGTACGATGATCGTTGTCCATTAAAAAAATTTCAGAAAGCCTCAAACCTACAAAATGACACGCATTCTCGAGAAATCTCATTTGTATACTAAATGTTGCAGCGATAATAACAATCAGCACGACATTGCGTGTATCGATATTGTTAATGATATGACGCAATACATATTGAAATACAAGCTGAAAGAACAGTGTCATCATCTGCAAAAAAAAATGGTAAAAAAAAATATTATTTGTTACTAGGGGGTGGAGGAGCAAATAGACAACATGTAACCACTAAAAATACTGCTAAGTTAGACAGAGAGACCGAGGAACTTAAGCATGATAAAGTACCGCTTGACCTTGGTAAATTAATTCAACAAGGACGACAAAATAAAGGGTTGTCCCAGAAGGATCTTGCAACGGTACAATATTGTTTGTTCGAATAACCCAAACGTTTCTGTATTTGTAATCGTGTACACGAGGTTTTTTTTTCTTTTTCAAAATTTTTTCCAGAAAGTGAACGAAAAGGCGCAGGTTATCAATGATTACGAAGCAGGCCGCGGAATTCCAAACCAAATGGTAATTGGTAAAATCGAACGAGTGTTGGGAATAAAATTGCGCGGAAAAGACCGTGGTAAACAGTTAACGACCCCCGGGACGAAAAAGTGAATCTCGGGGGAAAAAATCTCAAACTTTCTACCCTCACATATTGTTCCCAAAACAGAACTGCAACAACAAAAATTGTAGAATTGACAGTAACTACTACTCCTGCCCTGTTCAGCTTTGGTTATTTTATAATATACTTTAAATAAAATATTATTTTATTAAATACATTATTGTGTATTGTAAAATAGATTATTATGGTACGCCTTCATGTGTGAAATACAAGAAGTACATTTATATTTAATTTAAAGGAATATCTGAAACCCTCGATACGATTACTGCAAAGAAAAGAATCAATTGTCTTCGTGTAATCACATTGTTACCTTTTAAAATGCGCTTGATACTGTTACAAAACATATTTATTTTTCAGCTCTTTTTTTTGAAGTTTAACGAACCGTAGGCTAAACAAAATAGTATTAATGCAAATAGCGGTATAAGGTTGTCGATATATGTAATGTACATGGATCAGCAATTCGACGGTAGTAATTTTAATTTTTTCATTGTTAAAAAAAAAAAAAAAAAAATAGAATTTTTATACACACATCCACTCATGAACATCATACGTTAAAATATTTGCATAGCGATTAAAGTATTAATTTATAATGTAATAATAATTCAACATACATCACAGTAGTTGTATATAAAAGTAAGAAATTACTAAATAAACATTAATTATACCATTTAAAGTTAACTTTATTCGTACAGAAATCTGGTCGTACATATTTTTCACCCAATTTTATTAATCTTTTCTCAATGGAAAGCTAGACTCTTTTATACCATCTTTTGTTACTACTTTTATGCTTATAGAATCACCTGTATAAATGTCTCTCTCCGCCGCTGAAATAAAAACATCTTTTATCACCGCAACTGCTTTTTCTTGGGTCAAAGGGACAGGTTCGACTCCTTCCTGATTTGCATATCCAATCTAAAAGATGTATTATATATAAATAATACGTTTCAATGTACTCGATCGAATATTTTTCCATGCGAGCATTTATTCGATACCTGATTATCAAGAAGCGGTTGTAAAAGCGCACCGGCAGAACCACCCGCTCTATACTTGGCTAATTCGCAATGTCCGACCGGATCATAACTATATACACATCCTTTACCCTTACTATCAATTCCGCCGACAATATTAATAACGTAATAAGGAAAGAAACGTTTATAATATAGCACTGTTGACAACATTTGTGCTACCGCAGGTGTTGTCATTTCTTTCTGGTGCTCGTGGCGATATTTCTGTTGTACATTGAAAGATATTAATGTATAACTATACCTTCGATCGAATTTAATAATATAAGTTAAACAGCGAGTGCTACGCAAGGGTCGCAGAGACACGGTGTACGTTTTACCTGCATTAGAGCAGCCAAAAGCCGAGTTAAAGTGATCGTATCGCACCAACAGCCTGAACAGCCTAAAATAGTCGTGTCGGACAGAGTAAATAATTTTTCCTGCTCTCTGGTATAAATGGAAAAGCCTGTACTAAGACGCGTGTCTGCTGCTATTACACAGAAATCATCTCCCGCAAGAGCTATAACACTCCTACAATCGTAACGGGGGGGAAAAAGAAATTTAGAGAAGTTCAGATATTCGCAATATTATAAAGAGACATTTTCTCGAACGATTGAAATCGAGAAAAAGGTGTTTTCAAAGACAAAACAAATTATATCTTTTTGTATCGCGACACGTTACTGTCGGAAACGTTTAGGTTATATTTGGAAATTTACCCTCCATTGTGGGCGTACGGACTGAAATTTCTGGTTTTCGCACCTTCCTTCACGTAATCGGGCAACGATCTACCTGGATTTTCGGTAAAATATGCCATTTCTATCGAAGTTATCTCGACAAACAACAAATCTTAAACACTTTCCGCGGTGAATGACAATACACTTTGCGGTGAAGATGGCAATGCTAAATAATACCCTGCGCGCATTAACGCGTAAACGCGTTATATTTTCAGGCAGACGATTGGTCGGTTTAAGCTCGTCTCTATGAGAATCTGTCGATAGCGATAGGTTCACATTCGAATATTATACTTTTACAACAAATCGGATAAGCGGCTCGAAATGTTACTTTGTTGTACATTCTAGCGAGAAAGCAATAGTTCCAGATATAATTCGAATATTAAAAAAAAGCAAACTACGAATAATGATCGATCAACGGGATTGCCAATTCAGATTGATCGATTTAAATTGCTAAACTGAATATTATCTCTGTCCTATATTTTTCACGAACGAGGCTTTTTAATTTTCTATCGACGTTGTATTTTATTCATGAAGCATATACGTATGAGTGTCAATTTACGAGTGACGGCCGGCCGAATGTGTGATAAACAAGCAAAGCGGAACAAGTGTTATCTACTCAAATGCGATAACGTTTCGAACTATTGATAATATTTCAAGGAATTCGAAAAAGAATATTATTTTTTACAATCCGTTGAAATGGCAACCGGCGATGGGAGACGCGTTGCACTAATCACGGGTATTACTGGGCAAGTAAGTTTGACAGTTCGTGCACTGTTGATGTATCTTATATGAATTAGTTCTAACGCTTTAAATTTGACGTGCTCGTAAGGAGACTTTTATCTCTGCATATGGAATATCGATAGAATCGATTTAACAAGTCGATAAATATTAAAATTTTTTTCAGGATGGTTCCTATTTAGCAGAATTTTTATTGGAGAAAGGATACAATGTTCACGGTATAATTAGGCGAGCCAGTTCTTTTAACACCGCTCGCATCCAACACCTCTACAAAGATCCAAAATGTCATCGTCAGGACAAAATGAAATTGCATTACGGCGATATGACAGATTCCAGTAGTCTAGTTAAAGTAATTAGTTTTGTGCAGCCAACGGAAATTTATAATCTCGCTGCTCAGAGTCACGTTATGGTACGTATCGTTCCCCCTGGTGTTACGGTCATAATCATTTCATGTAATCATTGATCTTATATTCTTGTCTTTAGGTAAGTTTCGAAGTAAGCGAATACACTGCTGAAGTCGATGCAGTAGGAACGGTAAGGTTATTAGACGCGATACGTACTTGCGGTCTAGAAAAGTCTGTGAAATTTTATCACGCATCTACGTCTGAACTTTATGGCAGAGTGGTAGAAGTGCCTCAAAACGAAAAGACACCATTTTATCCCCGTTCTCCGTACGGTAATTACTCTATCAAATAGTACTTTATATTTAACTATGTAATTTTTAAACTGCGATTAAATTCTTTGCAATTTCAGCCTGCGCAAAGTTGTACAGCTTTTGGATCGTGGTAAATTACCGCGAGGCGTACGGAATGTTCGCGTGCAACGGTATATTATTTAATCACGAAAGTCCACGTAGGGGAGAAAATTTTGTCACGAGGAAGGTGACCAGGACAATAGCAAAGATACACTTAGGTTTGCAAGATGTTCTCGAGCTAGGAAATTTAGATGCAAAGCGGGATTGGGGACACGCAAAAGATTACATTAAGGTAAGAATTATTCACAAGGAGCAAGACGAGCCATCCGAATAATGCATTTATTATTACCCGATTACGAAGCGGTTTTATTTATCGGTAAAAATGAATGAGCTATTCAGATTGCCTGTCTTAAGTATAAAAACATAATGCTCGTTTTATAGGCGATGTGGATGATGTTGCAACAACCGGCTCCGGATGATTTTGTAGTGGCAACGGGAGAAACGCATAGCGTTAGAGAATTTGTGGAAGCTGCTTTCCAATATGTAGGCCGCACAATTAATTGGAAAGGTGAAGGTGTGAACGAGACAGGGCAAGATGCACAAACCGGACAAGTATTAGTCAAAGTGAATCCAAAATATTTCCGTCCAACGGAAGTTGTATGTATCGACTTTGTGTAATGGCAATTACGTGCTAACGTTTATGAGATTGTAACGAGTGTTTACTCTGTTCGTTCGTGCAGGATGAACTTTTAGGTGATGCTACCAAAGCAAAAGAAAAACTAGGCTGGAAAGCTACGATTACATTCGAGGTAAGTTACCACTGTTACAACTTACGCGCTTCCGTGATCGCTCGTTATCAAGTTACTAATACTTGGTATTATTTCAGGCTCTGGTAAAAGATATGATGGATTCCGATTTAGAATTAATGAGGAAAAATCCGACCGCTTAATGTTACTTCTTATTTCTAAAGAAACTCGATGCATTTTAAAAAATACATTCTGTGTCTCTGTGAGACAAACGATATTCAACTATGGATACACTTATTGTATTAAGAGGAATCTAAATATTATTTTGTAAAGTTACATACTTTTAGGTCAGACGTGGACAAGCATTGTAAGAGAATTAATACTAACAGGTGCTAATAAAAAGTAACTCTGTCCAGCGTCTGATCTAAAATATGTGTACATATAAAACGTAATAATAATATATGTAATTCACGTGTGTATGTGTATAGTGATAGCAGTAAAATTAAATTTTTCGTCTGCTGCTGTTTGCTTCCATATTATCGAACAAATATTTAAAAAAAAAAATAAATTATAATTTAAAGGTTTTTAAATTAATCTACACTCGGCATTTTTTAATTTTTTGACGTACGGCACAAGATCACTAGAATAATGGTTATATACAAAATGTCTTCCTTGTACGCATTAATTTTTAATTTTGTACATAATGTATTATACTTTAGGATAGTCGTTAAGTAGCACTTCAAACTTTATACACGTTGCCCGATGTATAAACGAAAATAAAAACATTTTTGTACAAAGCGAACGTTACAAAAAAAAAAGTTAATTTATACGTTTAAAACATGCATTAACCTTCACCTCCATCGTTAACGAAAGCGTTTCTATAATAAAAATATTTATATATACGTGGTTCGACCGTTTAGTGAGCAATACGGGTAAATTATACAGTTTTACGAAACGATTCCGATGGAAGCGTATATTAATAGTAATATTCGTTGAATGTAAATAGCTACGTAGCAGGCTCGTCCGTGGTCTTTCGTAAGATATTCTCGATCGTGAACATCATGGACTTCATGCAGTGACCTTGAGACTGCGTGTATCTCGTTTTCTGCGCTTCCTCGACATCTTTCGCCTCGACTATTTTACGGTCCTGTTCGCTTTTCTCTTCGCGCTTCGTCAAATCGGACAAGAGTTCCGACGATACCTAGAATCACGATCTATCGTTAACAAAGGTAAATCGTACAATGATATTTGTACGATCATAAATCCGAGTCGATGACGACAAAATAGCAGATCTCGATATATCGGAAGTCAAGCGTGGAGAAACATTTTAAAACAAATTGGTTACGTTGGTAGGCTCGATATTCGAGCATTTCGTGTCAAACATATGAAAAAGACGATCTATTCTTTACACATACGATAACTGAAATACATCGAACGAAAAAGACTGAGAAACTAGCGTTTACCAAAAGAAGGTTATGCTAACGGTTTGACGAGATTTCAACGGAATTACGTGCAATAAAACCTCGATTCATGAACGAATAAATAATTCCTCCCCACCTTCCACTTACCCCATCAACTCTCCTCTATACAGTCACGATAAACTAAATTAATCTCGAAACTGATTCTACCCGGAAAAAAACATAACCGTTTTCCGGGAACGCGGGATCGCGAAACTCCCGGAAAGATGGCAAACCGTAATCGAACTACGAAAAATTCGTCTCCCATTTACAAGCATGCAAATAAGCATTGACTCTAAATATTAATATTACTTGAAATATCGAAACTTCTGTATCGAACTGGACCAAAATTAATTTGTACACCCCAATGCTTTCAACACGATGATTTGCTTTGATTCGTTATTCGCGATTAAAAATTGCCCCGTCGTCGTCCCCTGACACCTTCCTCACCGAGACGCCCCCTCGATCCTGTTCCCGTCTGTCGTTCTGCGCGTACCCCCTCTGCTTCCTCATCCTTCTTCTCCTGTAATTGCCGTGCTCGAACATCTCGCTGGCGGACGGATCCAACGTCCAGTAGCTACCCTTCCCAGCCTGATCTTCCTCATTGTCATCACCCGTGATCTTGTCCCTGGGAATCTTCACGAAACAGTCGTTCAAGCTGAGATTGTGCCTGATGCTGTTCTGCCAGCCCTGACGGTTCTCCCTGTAATAGGGAAACCTGTCCATGATGAATCGGTAGATGCCAGACAGCGTGAGCCTCTGCTTCGGCGACGAATTGATGGCCATCGCTATCAGGGCGATGTAAGAGTACGGTGGCTTCTCGTAGCGGGGCTGAGGCTTGTACCTGACCTGGGGAACCGTCCACGAGAGTGGCAGGGCGTAATAGCTCGGTAGAGGGCACATGGTCGGAAAGATCTCTTCAGGGCTCCATAGCTCATAACTCCTGCGAAGATCACATCCGTAAGTCTTCGACACGGCGCACGGGGGGTCCTGGTAGCTATTGTTTGGCTCCATCGGTAACCGATCCCCACATCCGGGAACTTCCTGACCGTCCTCGATCCTAACTTTCAGGCAACTTGACGTTATCAGCTCTCTTATCGTTCACTGGATTTAATGGTTAACCACTTTCCATGGGACAACGTCTCGAACACCCTCGAGAACTGGTCTCGATTCCTGCGCGGCGATGACTGGATGCGGATTTGCGGCCGGTTGGACCAATTCTCTAACGAAGGGTGTTTTAATTTGACACACGGGTGATCCGGAGGATGGTCCAACTCCGCCCATCGCTGCTTTCCGGCGAACTCCCGTTTGCGCGTATGCCACGCTAGGGAGGCGGTTACCTATCACGGGACCGGCGGCGCGTGTTTTATTGCTGTTTACACATATGCTGTCCCAACACCCACGCCGGCAGTAAACGAGCCGATACGTAAACAAAGCCGCGGTAATTATAACGAAACCGTACCGGCTTCTCGGAACCGCTCTTGTCTTGCTCTTCGGAACGCTCGTCATCCCCTAGCCCCCCTTATCCTCGGCGACTTTGACTTTGGAAAAATATCGGGCCAACCATCCCTCGTTCGTGGTAACGCGATCAACTTCACCGCTGCGAAATCCGACACTTTTTCTTGTCTGGTTGTTTAAAAAGGGTATAGCCGGATAAGATGGTCAAAAGTGCCCTTGAGCCAAACTGATCAGTGAACATATCAGTTAATAGACCATTCAAAGAAAACCATTTGTGTCAAATATCCACCCCGTACCCTTACCGAGAGGGTAGTTACAGGGCGTAACGCAATTTTCACTTTAAGGGGCCTTTCTACCTTGTGGGATTAAAAAAATCGATATTTTTTTTTTTTTGCATTTTCCTTTAGTATGTAGTCTCGAAAATATGTCTACCAAATATTAAATTGAAATTCGGGAAACTAACGAAGTTATAGCCTGCTGAAATGTACCACGCGCAGGTATAACAATTGGACGTGAAACTTTAAAGCTGTTTTTCTCGGAACTACATTTTTCGGCACTGCGTGCGTGATAACTAAAAAACTATTCAAGATATCAACATCAAATTTATACAGTATCTTCAGAACTGGTCTCCCTATAGCATGAACCAGGATAATTGCGATATATGCAATACTTTTTCTTTTATTAACAAAAAAGCAACCAAATATATGAAAATATTCAGTATTTTTTCGTAAAATAGCTGCCATTTTGCCATTTTTTGTTTTTTTGAAAAGATCCTAGTTCATGCTATAACCACACTCATCTATATTAAGAATATCGTTGGTTTTGAGGATTTCGATTAACTTGTTCGCAAGATATCACGTACGCAGTCGGGTGCCGTTCGTAAAAACTGTTGTTTGATGATCAACAAAAACAGCGTAATCAATAGATATTATGCGTTGCAAAAATTCGTAAATATAGCTAAATATATAATAAATGTATCTACATAATCCGGAATTAATCGCTCTTTAATAACCCGTAAAAAAAAATCACAAAGAAACACGTATTTTTCATGCCTACAAGGTAGAATGGCCCCTTAAGCTGTATATCTTTTGTTGTATCGTATCAAAGATTTTGAAAAAAATTGGGGGTATTTTCCTCTACGGCGTACGTGTTTGTGAATTTTTTCAGAATTTTTCACCGCAAAATGGATTTTTAAAAAATTCGAAAAGTATAAAAATATTTTTTTTATATTTTTACAGCGTTAGTGTCTTGTTATGATTATTAATCTATAATTTTGTCAGATTTTTAGAAATGGGGGAGCGATGTTGGAAAAATCAAAAACCGACAATTGCTTGTATTTTTACCTTAATTCTTGTTGTGACCATGCTCGTATTGTTACAATTTTAATAGCTTGTTACTGTTATAAATATATAATTTTTTGAGATTTTTTGCGGAGGTGTATCGCATACAAAATAATTACAAATCGATATTTCCTAAGTTTTCGTTCGCAGAGGAGTAATATATTCGGGTAATGGATATTTTTACTTCATCGAATGATCATTATATACATGCTCAAAACAGTTTTACATGTATGAAATAATATAAAACTTAAAACCTTAGGAATGTCGAATAAGACATCAATGAATGACATTAATGAATACTTAATATTTTATGAGTCATATTCTGAGAAATTCTAATGAGAAATTCTAATAAAACAATAGCTGCAATTCTCTTAATTCATACATGTAAAACTGTTTTGAGCATGTATATAATGATCATTCGATGAATTAAAAATATCAATTACCCGAATATATTACAAATGTCGGTTTTTGATTTTTCCAACATCGTTCCCCCATTTCTAAAAATCTGAAAAAATTATAGATTAATAATCATAACAAGACACTAACGCTGTAAAAATATAAACGCGGTAATTTAATAATTTCTATTAAAAAAAAATATTTTTATACTTTTCGAATTTTTTAAAAATCCATCTTGCGGTGAAAAATTCTGAAAAAATTCACAAACACGTACGCCGTGGAGCAAAATACCCCCAATTTTTTTCAAAATCTTTGATACGATACAACGAAAGATATACAGCTTAAACTGAAAATTGCGTTACGCCCTGTAACTACCCTCTCGGTACGGGTACGGGGTTGATATTTGACAGAAATGGTTTTCTTTGAATGGTCTATTAACTGATATGCTCACTGATCAGTTTGGCTCAAGGGCACTTTTTACCATCTTATCCGGCTATACCCTTTGTATGGTTTGTTTTTGGACACTCCGTAGATCTTTGTTGAGAGTAATTTGCAATTTGTTATGTTCAAGCAGCGCGCCACGAATGTTACGTGCAATCATCTTTTGTCTCGCGTAGTTGGCGGTAGAACGATCGGGAAAAATCGGATACGATCGTACATGTTCGTTAAGAAAGAAAATCGAGAAGGTGTTCCAAGCCAATACGTGTATTCCTGCGGCGGATAAATCGTTTAATAAATCCTATGAGAAAATAAAAGTTTGTGTTATTAACCTGTCTGCACCTGTCCCGTTTTATATTCCCGCGAAAAATTGATTCTTTGGAACCTAAATCTGCATCGTGGTGTCGGTTGTCGCCATAACGTTTTGACTGTCACGTCAGCCATGGAATCGAAACAATACTCGAGTAGAAACGTTAAATTAAATTTGAATAGGATTTGAAGTTACACAGTTCACAATTCGATTGTTGGTCTGACAGTAAACGCGTTAAAAATCGATTGAGATTTCGAGGTTATCCGAGCGCAGAGTTTGTTTATATCGCGATTGCCGGCACAATGGCGTCGATTATGGATCGCAACCCTCGCCGTGTAATATTTTTGGCGATGGTCTCTCTGTTCGTGTACGGGGTGTTTGGAAACAGGACCGATTGCATCAGTGTCGAAGATGAAAGACTATTTCTGACGTTCGGTTTTGCTAGACCGGTCGAAAGAAAATATCGTCGAGCCCGTGCGTTCGTTTCTTTCTCGTTTTTGTTTACACGATTCAAAGTAAAAATGTCTATATTCTGTTTAATAATTTCACGGTACTGAACGCCGCGTAATCGCGATCTCACGTTAAATAAACACACATCAAGATCAATACGTTGCCCGATGTTTGTTACGTTTGTCCGTGTTCGTGTAAGTTCCGTGGCAGCTTCGACGTTTCTCCTATACCGTGTCACGAATAAAAAAAGAAGATTATGTAGCTTTTGATTGTATCGTCGATTTGAAAACTCGAAAGAGCTGGAAAATATTCGTTTGGTCGATTAACAATGTTTAGGTTTCATGCGTGCCGTTGAAAGGTTCGTCAAGTTACCAAGCCCAAGGGGTTACGAACGGTTCGTGGTTTGTCGTCGGTTTTCAAAGACGGTGCCAAGCGTTTGAAGGCGCGCGATCGGAACGGGGGAAAGATGAAGAGATCGCGCGAAGAAACGTGGCTATTTGTTTGCGCACCGTTTCTGGTCTTGTCCTTCGGGGTTCGGTTTCATCTTGAAATACTAAGAAACAAATCACCGCGGATCCGACAGCGGAAGGAACCGACGGATTAGCCACCATCCGCGTATTTCCACGATGGTACTTCGGGTCGCGTCGGAACATCCACGGAATGTGCATAAAAAACAACCGGAATTGACTTAAACGCGTTAATCCCGCTCTCCTGTTTTGCATTCCCTAAATCATTCGGGGCCGGTATAACTAAGAACAACATTTACGTAAGACGGTACAGATGGTAAAAATAATTTTCCTGCGAAGGAAAGTTACTCGTGTTTCAACTGCACACCGCGAGCATACGTCTTCGCGTTTCTTTTTTTTTAATTTCATGCGGATTAAAATTGCCGGTAATCGAACATTGTGTTTACGAGAGTGTTAATGGAAAGTACCGGTAACGGTTCTTATATTTATAGAAACGTTAAAGCAAACTTTGTGAAAGTGTTTACTGCGTTGCTTTCTGTTATTGCAGGCCTAATTAAATCTAGTAACGCTTTTTTTATTCTCGCGACAACCGATTGATAGGCTACGCGGTCGGTAACTACCTACACCGGTCGGTAAAGTGTCGGTAAAAAAGTTACTAGAAATTTTGAGGTAATGATTTTACGTAAAGTTTGCAGCTAGTTTGAGGGACGACCAGATACGTTTCAAGATCGTCTTGTCGCGCGTGAAATAAAGTTTTTTCGTGTTTTATTTACGAGCACGGGGAACCGCAGAAGCCTTTACCTCTTCGCCGTCGAAACGCCTCGCGAACGCAGGCGGTCTTGTTTGCGGATCGTTTCGTTTTTACTGCCTCGTATCCGGCCGAATCTAAACAATCGCTCCTTATTGACAAAATCGCCCGGGCGTCTGCGGGCCCCGGGTCTCGGATTGTTGCTTCTGCGACGTTTTACGAGTGTGGGAAAATTCACAGCGCTCGCAGACCGCCGCGGCCAAGTCCCTGGGTCGGTTAGATCGCGCAAAATAAACCGCTCGACCTCGTAAAATTGACTAGTTCTCGGAACACAACGAGGAGTACGGCGTCGAACTGGACCGATCGGCCGCCGAAACGATCAACCGATTCCGGGAAAGGTCGAATCTTGTTATCGACGGAGGGACTTAAACCGAATCCACAAAATGGCGGACTCGGACTTGGCCGATGCTTCAAACGAGTTTTGCGATTTATTTTTCGAACCCCGTTCGCTTTAAACTTTCTAAAATAGCAGCGAAATTGTTCCACCGTCGTCGAGGGAATGATTGCGCACAATTTCAATATGGCGGCCGGGGACCGCGACGAGATTAAGGAGAAAGTCTTTGCAAAATGGGAAGATTAGAGAATCCTTTGCACTCTTGTCTCATGCAAATGTCGAACAGCAAGCGAAATCAGCGAAAAGCGTGGAGAATTTTAATTTATTCGGTTACAACGCGCTGTTGAAGCCGCTCGCAGATACATAATTTCGATCCCTGGTCTTTTTTAAACATTTTTATTACTGACTCGTCAAGGTCTTCAGGAGCTGCGCCATCCCTGCAGGATTGTCCTTGGGGACCTGGAAAAAGTACAAAAAAAGAATGGTGACCGTGGCGACGAGATGAGACTTTAGAAACTGTTTGCTTTCGAGTTCTAAATAATAAACGAAGATGAAAGCTCGTTGGTAATCGTAAAAGCATTTGTCGAGTCTCCCTTTGTCTCTAACGGTTTTAAAAAAGAAGTATTCCTTAGTTTTGACTGCTGGAGATCGTTTTTTTTTACCATGTGCCCAGCTCTCTGGGCCCAGTACATGGAGAATTTGCGATAAGACTTCACGTAGCCCTCGATCATGCTTCCAACGACCAACGGAACCCTGGGAGCCTTCATCCAAGCATCAGCGTCCTTCCACTTCATCCTCTCGACCCATTGGAGAGTCCCTGGAACGTAAATAGAAAATGGCAAGTAGGGGAAAGTAGGATAAAATTGTTTTTGTAAGACACGATTGTTCATCCGAACGTCGACGATTTGCTGCTCATAGAAGACGTAAAAAATGTCGCACATATGGAATCAATCATGGCTGATAGAAAAACTTTTTTTAGACGCAATTGTCTGTCTCAGATTTGCTCTCGTAGGCTTTCTACGTTACCTGGGGTGTCAACGATGAGATCCAAGTGGCCAGTGAGCACCATCACTTTCAGGTCGGTTTCATTCAGCAGCTTCTCCACTAGATAAGAAACATTTTTAATTAGTCGGTTGGTATACCTAATATTTGGTACACACATAGCAAAAGAAGTGCTTTATATGTATTTTACTTATCAAGTATCAGTGTTTGGTAGATGTTGGAGAATCTTATCGAGTACCTTTGTTGACAACAGGCTTCATGAAGTCTCCCATCAACTTGTTGAACACGGTGTTGGAGTTGCGGCCATTGTTCACCGGTAATTTCAGGGCCTCTTTCACCGGACCGTTCATCAATCGATCAAGATCAGCATCGTCGCTCATTGCATTGCCTAGAATTGTTAAACGAATGTTAAAAAAAAGAAACCTCGATCGGTGATCGGTGGTCGGTGGTCTCACCTTCGTTCAATGTATGTTTCAACAAAAGCTGGTCGATGGGGGAGTAGCGAGCCCGAGAGCGTCTCATTTTCGTCAATATATTGTAGAAATCGATGCTGCCCGTGACGTCGTAGATCACGCTCTCTGTCTGGCTCCATATCATCGTCGCGCTGGTCCAGTTTCCGGCATCCACGGCTCTCTTCGTCAACTGCGCCGATTTGTCGATCTTGTTGTACCCGGCGGTGTCGACCATGCCCTGAAACGAACCGATTCTCGGTACAGCGGCGGTTTCCGGGGTAAAAATAAAAATAGGGGGCCTGGAATCCGTGAAGTCGTACCGTGGCTAGCAGAAAGGGTGCCCAAGTCATCACGGAGTCGATGGGGGAGATCCACGCGTCGCCCAGAACGACGCCCTTCAAGTTGCTTTTGATGGTACCAGCCTTTTCCGCCTGAATTACAAATGAAACGTTTCACCGTCGATAAGACATTTGGATAGTTTTCAATATTTAGTTAAATTAAGTTATTTGTACCTATGCATTGTAATTTCACTGTTAGTGAAAGGGTAACTTGTTTGTATTCAATTTTTCGCGTATTGAATCATTTAAGAGCTTGTGTACGAATAAATTAAGGATAAAACTTGTTAAAAATTTGTGTAATGGGAATATTACTAGCTCATTAATATATAAATTTCTGTATTGTTCAGTCTGTGTACGAATTAATTAAGGATGAAACTTGTCGAAAATTTGTGTACTGTTTTGTATTATATTTCTGTTATTATTACTAGGTCATTAGAAGGGAAACTTGTTTGTGTAATGTTCTGGGTTAGGTCTGGGTTAGGTCTGAGTTAGGTCTGGGTTAGGTCTGGGTTAGGTCTGGATTAGGTCTGGGTTAGGTCTGGGTTAGGTCTGGGTTAGGTCTGGGTAATCGAATTATTTAAGAGCTTGTGTATAAATAAATTAAGGATAAAACTTGTCGAAAATTCGTGTACTATTTTATATTATATTTCTGTTACTATTACTAGCCCAATTAAAAGGGAAACTCGTTTTTATAATATTCAGCTTTTCGTGTATCGAGTTATTTAAGAGTTTGTGTATAAATAAATTAAGGATCAAACTTGTTAAAAATTTGTGTAATGGGAATATTACTAGCTCATTAATATATAAATTTCTGTAATGTTCAGTTTATGTACGAATAAATCAAGGATAAAACTTGTCGAAAATTTGTGTACTGTTTTATATTATATTTCTATTACTATTACTATTACTAGCCCATTGATATATAAAAAGAATTACTTCACAAATAGGAAGATAACAGAGATGTAATAAAATCACCATTTGCTGAAAATGAAAATATAAATGGAGAAATAATTCCATAGGGGTAGTTTTTTTTTTTATTTATAGCGAATGATCTTTATAGTGTATGAGTACAAGTGGGAGTAGATGACTATAATATTACTATATATTAGTAGATAGTTGTGAATATTGAGCGTCCTACCTGGTACCAAACAAGAGCAAATTCGGCGCCCATTTTTCCTCCATAGGACTCGGTAGTGATGTACACGGGGACGTGGGAGAATTTAGGTAACACGCTTAGGAAGCCTTTCATGCATTGTAGAAGATCGGCAGCGATCTGTTCGTTCGTTTTCGCGTAACCAGAATCTACGTTTGCGTAGCTGAAACCTGCTCCGATTGGGTTGTCGATGAAGAGGACATTGTAATCCTTCACCTGTGACAATTCGTAAGATCATCAGAAATAATATCAAGAGTCGTTGAAAAATTATGATAAATTGTAAGAGTTGATATTTCTCTCCCAATACTCAATCTGTTAAAATTAAAAACCTTGTAAAATCAAGCAGTCCAGTGTGGACATTTTTACAATATAAAATGGAGCATTGAGTTTACTGTTTTGAATTCTGTTTTGTCAGAAATGATATCAAGATTCGTTAAAAAGAATTATGTTAAATTATAAGAGTTGATATTCCTTTCCCAATACTCAATCTGTTAAAATTAAAAATCTTATGTAAAATCAAGCAGTCCAGTGAGGACATTTTTACAATATAAAATGGCGCATTGAGTTTACTGTTTTGAATTCTGTTTTGTCAGAAACGATATCAAGATTCGTTAAAAAATTATGTTAAATTGTGAGAGTTGATATTTCCCTTTCAATATTCATGCTGTTAACACTTTACCGACCGATAGCCTATTAATCGACTGTTTTACCGATCAACGCTTACCGGCTGAGAGCCTATCAATCAACTGTTTTACCGGCCAACGCTTACCGACCGATAGCCGATTAATCAACCGCTACCGGTCGGTAAAGTGTTAAAATTAAAAATTTTGTAAAATCAAGTGGACAGTCCAGTGTGGACATTTTTACAATATAAAATGGCGCATTCAGTTTACTGTTTCGAATTCTGTTTTGTCAGAAATGATATCAAGATTCGTTAAAAAGAATTATGTTAAATTATAAGAGTTGATATTCCTTTCCCAATACTCAATCTGTTAAAATTAAAAATCTTATGTAAAATCAAGCAGACAGTCCAGTGTGGACATTTTTACAATATAAAATGGCGCATTGAGTTTACGTTTTAAATCAGAAATGATATCGAGTTTCGTTAAAAAATTATGTTAAATTGTGAGAGTTGATGCTGTTAAAATTAAAAACCTTGTAAAATCAAGCAAACAGTCCAGTGTGGACATTTTTACAATATAAAATGGCGCATTGAGTTTACGTTTTAAATCAGAAATGATATCGAGGTTCGTTAAAAAATTATGTTAAATTATAAGAGTTGATGCTGTTAAAATTAAAAATCTTGTGTAAATCAAGCAAACAGTCCAGTGTGGACATTTTTACAATATAAAATGGAGCATTGAGTTTACTGTTTTGAATTCTGTTTTGTCAGAAACGATATCAAGATTCGTTAAAAAAAATTGTGATAAAGCAAGTGTGCAATCAGGTCGAGAGCTGATACAGAAAAATTTTATCGAACGTCCATTGGAGATAGATCGTGAACAGTGTTTCGTACCCAGGTGTAATTTCTCGATTTCAAGTTGACATCGAGGGGCCCAAGTTCCTCGAAGTTTCCGAATGCAGTGGAGGATGCACCCGGTCCGCCTTGCAGCCAGATGACCAGTGGCTTCTCATAATACGAGGTAACGTTCGCGGTGGTGTAGTAAAGCCACCAGAACATGTTTGCATTTGGCCGTACTTCCACGTATCCCCATTCTTGCTCCCCAGGACCAAATCCTTTCTTTGCTGTACAGAAACATAGGCGTTCAATTAGCACACCGTTTCCGGTTAAAATGCAGCCTCGACTTCAACGATTACAACCACCTTTCGTAACAGAATAGTCAGAGGGAATCTATATTAGGTCGTCCCATATGTTCGTGCCTAGTTTTCCACCGCAACTTGAAGTAATATTTTAAACATATGACGTAATTTTATGAAAAATAGTAAACCTCTTCTCGTTCAACAACTCCTTCCCCTTCTTTTGGCAAAGCCATTGTATCGTCGTTCCAAAACTTGCTGGATATTTCATTCAAATTTAGTTTAACGCTTTTCATTAAAACGTTGACATATTCAAATTGTTTATCCACCAATAAGCCTGGAGATTGTTAGATTTTATATCTTATAAGATTCAGTTTTATTATACGCCAACAGACGATACCACGATTAAGAAAATTTTGTTCCATAAGCTAGCGTGAATTTCCAAACTTCGACACAATATCTATTCGTTTCAAATTTCTATGAATTGTTGTTGTTACTATGTTTGAAATTTTAGAAATCACCTCAACTGACAAATTTTCTTTGCTTTTTATTAGATTACTATCCTCATCAATTTCATAATATCGAACGGCACGAACTTATGGGACGACCTAATACATAAATTTAATTGATCTACTATCGTTTAGATTCTAATAATTATGAATCTGAAAATCAGCAGAAAATTTCTATATGGTGATTTTGGAACATAAAAATTACCGATTCATCGGAGTCGTTGCTATAAAATTGTGCTTACCGAGTGTCCCAGAAGCGAGACAAAGCGTCACGAGAAGAAATAATGGAAGGCCCGTCATTGTTGCCGGAATAACGGACACGCGAATACTAAACTCCCGAAGTATCATTCCGGGCAAAGGTATTATCCATCATTAGCGATCGATCGATTAGATACGTGGAAGACAATTAAATTTTTCCATCGAGATTTCTCAACTTTTTCGGTGTCTCAATCGTTCCGTAATCAGTTGCTGCAATCGTGCGCCTTATTAATTTATTTTCCACTCGAAAGGCTTCGCAAAATAATTAGATATCGACGACCTCACCTTTGTCCATGTTCCTCGATCATTTATCACTCTTTTCTTAAAAATCAAGAAATGCAAATGCCAGGCCATATTGCACTATATTAAAGAATTATTCCAGCAAAAAATGGCCCTCGTTTTCATTTAGAAATTACATACAACCTGTCTCAATTTTAAAAACAAACGCTGTATATAATTTTAAAAAAAATATATTTAATTTGGTAGAAAATTTTCGATTCGTTGATTTATCGAAATTATTCCAGAGAAAAATGGCCCTGCACAACCCGTCTCAATTTCTATAACAACCCCTGTATATAATTAAAAAAAAAATATATTTAATTTGGTAGAAAAATGGCCCTGCACAACCTGTCTCAATTTCTATAACAACCCCTGTATATAATTAAAAAAAAAATATATTTAATTTGGTAGAAAAATGGCCCTGCACAACCCGTCTCAATTTCTATAACAACCCTGTATATAATTAAAAAAAAAAATATATTTAATTTGTATTTAATTTGGTGGAAAATTTTCGACCCGTCGATTTATCGAAATTATTCCAGAGAAAAATGGCCCTGCACATGCACAATCGGTCTCAATTTCTATAACAACCCCTGTATATAATTAAAAAAAAAATATACTTAATTTGGTGGAAAATTTTCGATTCGTCGATTTATCGAAATTATTCCAGAGAAAAATGGCCCTGCACATGCACAATCTGTCTCAATTTCTATAACAACCCCTGTATATAATTTAAAAAAAAAATGTATTTAATTTGGTAGAAAATTTTCGACCCGTCGATTTATCGAAATTATTCCAGAGAAAAATGGCCCTGCACATGCACAATCGGTCTCAATTTCTATAACAACCCTGTATATAATTTAAAAAAAAAATATATTTAATTTGTATTTAATTTGGTGGAAAATTTTCGACCCGTCGATTTATCGAAATAAATAAATCGACATGGAACCGCGCGATCGCCAATGATTAATGGCGACGTGTAGCAAATTGGCTACGCCATTGCTTGCGCCATCGAGCATCGAGGTAAGGTCAAGTTTGCGGAGAATTCAGTGGAACGTCGATTCTCTTTCCCGAGATCGATGACGTTGATGTAATACGTGGATCTTGCCGGAATAGGAAACGTTTCTGGGCCAACGATGCCCAGGAATGCGAACGTGGAATGCTGGAATTTCTCGTGACCTACACGGATTTTTTGACCACGTTCGCTGGTAAAAATCGCCCACGAAAACTCAATTTCTCGAAAAATCTCTTAGAAACTCGTTGCAATTTAAAATCCCATCTAAATCTATTTTCTTTGTACAATTAATTCGTCTCAAGGAACTAATGATCTAGGAAACACGGAGCGAGAAAATAGGTCTTTTCGTCATTTTGCTGACCCGGTGCACTTTCGAGTTCGTTCGAGTTGGGAAACGTTTCGTTTCGAGGCAACGAAAAGGAAATGAAACACTCGAGATGAGCGTGTTAATTGGTGCGTCTCCTCTCGTTCGCTTTCGATGGTCCCCGGGGAAGATCGACGCGATAACGATCGAGTGGAAACGTACCTTTCGGAATTATACCAAAAAATACTTTTTACTCGACTTGTATTTGCATGAAGCGACGCTGTACAATTCGGCTGGAAGTCGGTCATCGTCGGTGGGTTCCAGCGTTATGTTAATGGCCACAAAAATGACCGGTAAGACTGAATTATTCGCGTAAGAAATCGTAGAATTATTCTCGATATTTAAAATATTGTACGTATTAATTTTCATTAATAAAATTTTGTGTTTCCCCAACCAATTTCCAATTTATTATATTTATTTTTAACCAATCTGGGGTCCATTGTCTCCCTTGCTCGCCGCCAGAGGACTACGCTCTTAATTCTCTCGCAAGTGCTCGACCCACCACTCGTTCCTATACAGGGTGTCCCGTAAACAGTGCAAGAACCGTAAATTTGGGGTAGCTGAGACAATTTCCTTTGCAAAAATGTTGGATGAGGCTTCGTTTTTGAATTATTAACGAAAAACACTGACAAATAATCCGCTAATAAACCCAAGAACGAAACAACAATAGGACCCCCAACACTAAATAACGGAAAATGAAGAAACCATAAACGGAATCCAAAACACCCGTTCCACGAATCATAGTTAACAATTTTAAGTAAATACGCTGTTATTATTTGAAACGGAGCCTCGTTGATTTTTCTTTGTCCTTGATCCTTCTCAAAAAGAGAAATCGAGGGTTCGTGGGATTGCAGGGTTTCGCAAAAAATGTCCCCCGACGGCACTTTGACGCCTCGAGGAAGGGAAAATGGCGGAGGGTGTCGCAAATACTCGACGTTTCGATTGCGATCCGAGGATCCTAATATTTGCACGGGCGACTGAAAGTTTCCGCTGGTATGCAGCGTTGTTTTGGAGGCGTTTGTCGCGCTCGTTTCGAATATAGGCGATGCGTGTAAACGGGGGGTTATGCAACCGCGTGTTACGAAGTCGTAAGAAATGAGGCACGGTTGTGTAGGAATCCCGGCCACCGAACACATCCTTTGAATCGCAATTTTCCTTCCTGTTTCAAGCATGGCAATTTCGTGGTACCCCTTGCAATCGTCTCGAAAGATTCTTTCATTAATATGCTTGGCGAGGTTCGACTGCATCTGTTCAAAATGGCCGCCAAAAGCGTTCCACTTATCATCAGACTCGGTGAAATAATAATGAAATTATCGAAGAATACGATTTCATAACCTATAAATATTTATAAAATATTTATAATATAAATATATATATATATAATATAAATATTTTATAATATAAATATTTTTCTATAGTTAATTTCTGTTTCGATATTTTGATAATAATGTGGTCCTTTACCAAAGAAGAAAATCAAGAGAAGAAACGATCGAAAAAAAATGGCGGCCAAAAACGTTCCATTTATCACCAGATTCGGTGAATTAATAATAATGGAATACTCAAACTGAAATAATCGAAAAATACGGATTCATAACCTATAAATATTGAATAGTATTGTCTATAGTTAATTTCTGTTTCGATATTTTGATAATAATGTGAATCTTTAGCGACCAGAGAAGAAAACTAAGAGAAGAAACGATCGAAAAAAAAATGGCCGCCAAAATCGTTCTATTTATCACCATATTCAATAAAATAATAATGGAATACTCGAAATTAAATAATCGAAGGATACAGGGTTTCATAATCTATAAATAAATAATAGTATTGTCTATAGTTAATTTCTGTTTCGATATTTCGATAATAATGTGATTCTTTAGCTACCAGAGAAGAAACGATCGAAAAAAAATGGCCGCCAAAAACGTGCCATTTATCACCAGATTCGGTGAATTAATAATAATGGAATACTCAAACTGAAATAATCGAAAAATACGGTTTCATAACCTATAAATAAATAATAGTATTGTCTATAGTTAATTTCTGTTTCGATATTTCGGTAATAATGTGATTTTTTAGTGACCAGAGAAGAAAACTAAGAGAAGAAACGATCGAAAAAAAAATGGCCGCCAAAATCGTTCTATTTATCACCAGACTTGATGAGATAATAATGAAATACTCAAACTGAAATAATCGAAAAATACGGTTTCATAACCTATAAATAAATAATAGTATTGCAATCGTTAATTTCTATATCGATAATAATGTGATTCTTTAGCGACCAGAGAAGAAAACTGAGAGGAGAAACGATCGAAAAAAAATGATCGGGTCGCGGTTAAATATAGAGGCGGCTCGGTGGAACGGGGCTGCATGTTTGCAGCGGGGATTTGGCAGCCACCATTTTCTAGACCCGCTACAATGGAACGATATCTTAACGATTGAAAAATAGCTTCGAAATGGCTTTAAAATAATCCAATAAAGAAACACTGGAATAAAAGAAATTTTGTCGCAAGACGGTCATTTTCCAAACGAAGACTGTCCTCGAATGAAATGTGAAAGTCGAGGGACTGGATGCACGATCCTCGAGAGACTTGAAATCCACTAAAATGAAATTCAAAAGAGAAATTGTAACGTTTCGGTTTGTAATAGTACGTCCTCACTTGAGAATTTCAGATCGTCCATCAGATTCGACGATGATTTTTATGAATTTCGTAATTCTTGACAATGGTGGCTTCACCACTCGTTGAAATCTCCGACTATTTTGATGTCCTATACCTTTGTTATAGCCTTTTGTCTAAAAGTTCAGAGCATAGCGTGTTGGAGGAGGCCATTTTTCGTCACAGATTCCAAAATGGCACCTTTCAATCTCATCTTCATACTTTTACACAACTCCCCTTTGATCTATATCTTGTCTACTTTTGTTATTCCCATTCTGCACGTTTTATAAAAATAAACTATTATCATAAACACGAGCAGATTTGCTTGTACACCTAAACAGTCTCGGCGATAACCGATCGTTAACAAAGTATCAGAAGTCAAGAGTTAATCTCTATCGGGACAGATAAAGGCCCGCAAGTAATTTTCTCTTTGAGCAGAATCATCGTAACCATCGAGATTAACGATAAATCACGGTTCAAAGTACGTGGAATAAAGTCGAATAAATTGATACTTAGCGACAGAGAGATGGGTCTCTATCGATGCAATGATCGAGTATATACACAGTGTACGTTGAAAGTGAAAAATAGTTACGAAGGAGAAAGTGACAACGTCATCGGTTGAGTATTCGTCGATGAGACGCGATTAAAATAGTGTTTCTCAATGGACGCGTCGCGCGGGGAATAAAATAATCTAATAAACTGGCCCAATATACTCTGTTTCGTTCCTTCGTCGCCATATTTGTTCCATATTCGATCCACGGGG